GAGATAATTGCCTTAATGAAGTTTATGAGAGATGAGAGACGCGAGGATGAAGCTCACAGACGTTTGGCGGATGAGCACAGAAGGCAAGCAGAGGCAGAACGAGACCACCAACGGAGAATGGAAGACAGTGCACGGTTTGAAGCCTTGATATCTCGCCTCACTGTTAACCAAGCCCCTGGCTCTAACACTGCCTCGGTACTGAATGGTTCAGATACCTCATCCATGCTTCCTTCACGCCCCCCAGCCCCACCTAAAGCAGCAGCTCAAACACCGCCCATCTTGGAGCCTGATGTAAATTTCCAGACTTTTCGCGAATGGCGGCGGCGGTGGGCTGATTATGCTACAATGGTGGATCTCCAGAGTTTGTCACAGCCTAAACAACTCATCCAGCTGCGTATGTGCCTGTCCTTGGAAGTTCAGCGTGTCTTAGAACATACGTTGCAGGTACCCCCAACCTCTTCGCTGTCTGTAGAGGAGGTACTGGACGTTCTACAACGGCACATCAAAGGACAGCAGAATGAAGCTCTGCGCAGGAGGGAATTGTTTAGCTGCAGACAGATGGAGGGTGAGTCTTTTGACGCTTTTTATGTACGTCTTAAGAGAGCCTCGGAAGAGGTAGATATATGTTTAGGCCACCACCAGCAGTGCGAGGAGACCCAGTTGAAGCAGGTGATCCTGATGGGTGTTAAGGACGAGGAACTTGTCCAACGCCTCACCTCCCTCGACTCTTCCTCTTCTCTTCAGGATGTGTTGACGATATGTCGCTCCTATGAGGCTGCCAGGTGTGCCACCTCTGCCATCCGAGCTCCCCCTACAGCTGTACGCGCTGTGTCCCGGTACAAGAAGGACAAGAAGTCTGCTCCTACGCCTTCGCCCACCACGTCCACGCCCGGTTCATTTTGTAACAACTGTGGTAAGCAGCACGGAACACAGGTGTGTCCAGCTGCTCAGTCTACCTGCAACAGTTGTGACCGTATGGGCCACTGGTCGCTCACAGTGCGGTGCCCAGCTAAGTACGTACAGTGCAATGTGTGCGGTCGTCTGGGCCACTATGACAAGTGTTGCCCTACCCACGAACCCAAGGGACAGCGTCGGCGGAAGCTTCGGCGCCCTTCTACCAGTGAGGGCCGCCCACAGTCGCCAAATCAGAGGCACGACGACCCTGGACAAAGCCCGACCCATTTTAGGAGGGTGTACTCCTCGCATCCCAGGACCAAAGTCCCCCAGTACATCAGCGTCATCGTGACCTACGGCGGTGTGTCATCCCGTCTTCAGATGTTGCCCGACACCGGCGCTGATGCTACAGTCATCGGTCCCCAGCATTTGCGATGCTTGGGGCTCTCTCCAAGCGATCTAGGACCGCCTCCCGAGGACCTCTGCATCATGGCAGATGGTTCACAGATGGCCCCAGCCCTGGGTTCACTCTATGCACATGTCACCTTTGGCAACAGGTCGTGTCAGGCCTGGATTGACGTGCATAATGGTGTCCCGACTCCCTTGCTGTCCTACAGACATTGTCAAGAGTTGGCCATCATCTCCCAGGACTTCCCAACACCGATTCTCGAGGCAAATTACGCCAACAGGGTGCATGAAGGGAGCAGCAACTACCCTGCTGCCGCCCTACCCCTACCTCTGGCCAGTGACACCTCTCCTTCGGTAGTTGTCCCTGCTGCATCACGTCCCCACGCCTTGGCTCGCCTTCACGACAGTCACCGTGGAGCTGAGGCCACCAAACGACGTGCACGACAGACTGTGTTCCGGCCTGGCATCGACCCCGACATCTCCAATGCTGTCCAGGTGTGTAAGCCCCGCCACGTATTACAACCCAGCCAGCAGCAGGTACCCTTCATGAGTGACGACAACCCCACCCGCCCCTTTGAGTCTGTGTCGGCCGACTTTTTCTGTGTGTCAGGAAAGTCCTTCCTGGTTATCGTCGACCGTCTCTCTGGTTGGCCGGTTGTCATCAAGGGCGGTAATGACACGACGTCTGCCGCCACCATCAGCAAGTTCCGCCACTACTTCCGTGACGTGGGCGTTCCTGTACGCCTGCGAACCGACGGAGGGCCTCAGTTCACAAGCCGGGACTTTGCTGTGTTCCTTGACCGATGGGGAGTCCGGCATGTGTTGTCATCGCCCCATTACCCGCAGTCCAACGGCCACGCTGAGGCTGCTGTCAAATCCTTGAAGCACCTCATCCTTAAGGTGGCCCCTTCTGGGAACATTGACTGCGAGGCCTTCGACCGGGGTCTTCTTGAACTCCGCAACACACCCAACTACACCGGACGCTCCCCTGCCCAGGTTTTGTATGGACGCCCCTTCGTTCTTGTGTCCCTGCTCACCCTCAATCCTTCTCCAAGGAGTGGCAGGCCAAGACAGAGGATTGTGATCGCCGAGCCGCCGAACGTGTTCAGGACGTCGTCGCCCGCTACAACGACCCGTTCTCTCCCCAGGTTGAGTGTCGGCACCCAAGTCCGTGTTCAGGACCCGACCTCCCTACGTTGGGACAAAGTAGGCGTAGTCATGGGTCTCGGCAGGTCACGGGACTACCAGGTGCGGTTACCCAGTGGTCGTGTGTGGTGGAGGAACCGCCGTTTTCTCCGCCCCGTAACAATGCCTTCTGCTGACCCCGCCACCAGTGTTGAGTCCCATACCCTTCCCAGTGATGAAGTCCCTCGACGCTCAGAACGGATCCAGAAGAAAAGGTCCGCTCAAGACTTTGCTATGAGCGTATAGGGGGGAGGGAGGTGTATGTATATTATGTATGCTGGATTATGTATTATGTATGTATATTATGTATGTGCTCCATTTATATTTATTCAGCCTAGCTAGCAGCGTGTGGCAATGTTATTACCATATCCCACACGCTTAATTAATGTGCCTGGCGACGTATGGAAGCTGCTAATGTACCACTTGCCATACGTCGTCTATGGTAGTTGACCAGGACCTTAGCTAGGGAGCAGTGCTATCCACCTCTGTGTACATACTCTTATCCAGTAAACCGAACCTACAAAACTATACAGGTGTTTGTGTTCTCTCCTGTATATAGAACTTATTACCCAGAACATCTAACAGAAAGGAAGCTAATGTCCACTTTAACGTTTCAAAAGCTGTCTGGCATTCTTCTGTCCAAGCAAAGGCAGCCTGTTTCTTAGTGAGTTCTGTGATAGAATATGCAATCTTAGCAAAATTGGAAACATGCTTACGATAAAACCCGCACATCCCTAAAAATTGTCGGACTTGTTTGACATTAGTGGATGGTTTACACTCTGTTACTGCTTTTACATTCTCAGGATCCAGCTCAATGCCTTTCTCTGGCACAATATGTCCCAAGAATTTTACTTGTCTTTGACCAAACTGACATTTAGATAGATTTAATTTGATTCCCATATTTACAAACCTGTCAAATACTTTAGCCAATCTGCCCATGAGGGTATTGAGATCATTAGCCCACACTATGACATCATCTAGATAGTTCCTGACCCAATCTTCTTCTGCTAAAGGAGCTAAGACCCTGTTTACTTCCCTAGTAAAAACGGCTGGGCTGGCTGACAAACCAAAAGGGAGGCATTTGAACCGCCATAAATTATATCCATCGCTGAAGGTGGTTATGTCTCTACTGTGAGGGTCAAGAATTACCTGATAGTAAGCATCTTTCAAATCTAAGGTGGCATAATATTTATTTCCGGCAGCCTTCTCAACTAATTCATCCAATCTTGGCAAGGGTTGTATATCCACTTTCAAGTGTTTGTTGACTGCTCGGAAATCGAGGCACATACGTTTCGATCCATTAGGTTTAGTTACTAACACGATAGGTGATAGCCAGACAGCGGTTGATGGTTCAATGATGTCCCTATCTCTCATGTCTCTCATCATTTCTTTAATAGTACCCTTGGCTTTCTCGGGATACCTATACTGAGGTCCTCTTACAGGTTGTTCATTGACCAATGGGATGTTAGCTGGCAAACCCTTAATTGTTCCTATTTCATTTGGACCTAAGACAAACAACGCATCATGATTCATTACCACCTGTTACAACTGTGTCCGCATGTCCCTATCCAAGTGTGGCCATTGCTGGGTCCTAATTAACTCCTTCAATTTGTCCTGTCTAGTTTCTCCACGCTTCACTTCATCACAGTCACGTACCATAGAATTTAATACTTCTTGAGCTCGTCTAATTTTCTGGACTGGGGAATTTTCCATACCCCTACAAAGTAAGCATTGAGTTGGGAATTTCACATCATGAGTCAATCTTAAGGGGATTTTGTTAGACCTCTTATCATTTTCTCTCTGTATGGCCAGGTGATGTGGTGAGCACAGTGGTATTTCTACAGACCGGTCTACCTTACCTAACTCTTCATAAATGTGTGAGATAGTTCCGAGATTATGCCCTTCATCATCAAAGTAACAGAATTCATCATCATTAACTACTTCATATTCACCTAAACCGTACCAGGACTCAAACACACTGGTTGCTCCGAAACATTACTCATAGGAACACAAACACAGGAATCATCTTGGACTACCACACATATATCCGGTTGTTGTTTCAACCCCTTATGCGTAAATCTGATACCTAAGGTCTGACCTAACCCTACCTTCACTTTAACTGGTCTAATCTGAGAACTGTGCCCACTTATTATAGTCTTCCTATCAACGTGTAAGTTAGTTAGCTCCTTGGGAGAAGATAAGATCGAAGCATTCGTGAGCTGTTTGACTTTGACAACCGTTCGCAACTTTCCTCCATGACTTGGTTTCCAATAAACTTGTTTATGACCCCCCCCCCCCAAATGAACTGATTTTTTTCGTGATGCCACCAAACTCCAAATCTGCCTAAAATGTCTGCTCCCAATAATACATCAGTGACCAACATGCTATCTTCCACTATTACAGCTTGGTGGCGGATTCTTTTCCTACGGGACAACTGTACACTGATGACAACAGTGCCTTGGGCCTTAAACTCTTCCCTGTTAAGAGCTACATATCTCTCGGTACAAGGCCTAATGGGCCCCACCTTCAAGGCCCTCACCAAACTATCATTAATGATCGTAGATTCACTACCCGTATCAACCAACGTTATACAAGTATGTCCACATATAGGTAACTTAATACATGGAGAACTGGGTGGGTATGGATGTCGTGGTCATTGGCCCGAATGGGGATTCCTAGCTTGGCGTCTTGGACAAGTGGAAAAGAAACTCCTGTCGCAAGTATTTATTTTCGTCTTTCAGGAATCATGTGTGGGCGGCAGGCATGGGTGGGTGTATCGTGGGAGTGTGTGCGCTATGGGCGTGATTGGCTACGGACGTGTCAGCGGCTCCAGCAACTAAAAATAAAGGGAATTCTACAGTAAGTTAAATTGTCTGTTTAATTTGGTAGTCTCTCTCTCTCTCTCTCTCTCTCTCTATATATATATATATATATCAAAATTGATTGATTTTTAGTGCCTTCAAAACTATGTATGTATGCATGCATGTATATGTATGTATGTATGTATGTATTTATGTATGTATGTATGCATACATATGTATATATGTATGTATGTATGTATCTATCTCCCAACAGATGGTAACAGTGCCGTCAGACTTGCTGGTACAGTTACTGGACGTCAGCAGATCGCTACAGAAGTTACTACCAGCTGACCTCCCCATCCCCCTGCTTGATGTCAGCCCCGAGGATGGTAAGGGGACTGTTTTGTTGTTCTGGGGTCCATTTAACATCATTTAGCATAGTCTTAACTACCCTAACATAGTTTAGCCATACTTAATCTAACCTATCTTAACGTAATCTAACCTAAACAAACCTTAACTACCCTAATTAAGCCTTACTAATCTTAAACTAAACTAACCTAACCCTAATTAAACCTTATTAAGGTTAAACTAAAATAAATATTAAGCTAACCTACCCACACCTAAGCTAACCTACCCACACTTAAGCTAACCTACCCACACCTAAGCTAACCTACCCACACCTAAGCTAACCCTAACCTCCATGTTTGTTGACAGTACTGGCTCGGGTTAACGACGAAGGGCCAAACTCACTGTTAACTCTGGCTCTACGTCACCACGCTCTACTGCAACAACGTAACGAAGATTTACTCACCCAACAAGCTCGTTGTACTGCCCAGATCGAGGCTCCACAGGAGGATAAACAAGAACTCCGTCTACACCTACAGGATTGCAAGAAGAAACTACAGTACCTTCAGAGAGGCCCTACAGATATCCTACCTCCTACAGACAGCGCCAAACCTACAGATACTATAGAGGATGTTAAAAAAGGCGTTAAAATAGATTTATGTCCTTGTAGAGAGAATTTAACAGAAGCACAGTTGGAAGAGAGGAATTTTGTAGGATTGGATTGTGTCTGTGAGAAAGTGACCATACTTCCCAAGACCACACCTGCTCCTGTGTTGTTGGGTACTGGGTCAAGGTGGGTGTGTCTGTCTGTCTGTCTTCATCTCTATCCTTTCCCAATAGAATGAAGAACTCTCTCTCTCTCTCTCTGTCTCTCTCGTATAAAGTCAATCTCTCTCTCTCTCTCTCTCTCTCCCCTGCCCCCCTCTCTCTCTCCCCCCTATCTCTCTCTCCCCCTGCCCCCTCTCTCTGTCTCTCTCTTTCTCTCCTCAACAGAGTGAAGGACTGCGCCGGTCATCAGACTGAAGGGGCGACCGGGAGTGGAATGTATGAAATTTACCCATCAGAGTATTATAGGCAGTGTACTGTATGTGAGGGAGAGGAGAAGTTGTTGCTGATGAAAGTAAGATTATAGTAGGATATGTAGTGTCACCATGATTGTTTGGTGTTTGCCAAGATGGGATGATAATTGAGGTTGGTGCTGTTGATGTGGTTGGTTGAGTAAAGAAAGTTGAATATGTTAATAAGTTTGGCTGATTGAAGAACTCGAGAAAGTTGGTGTGGTGTGTGTGTGTGTGTGTGTGTGTGCGTGCGTGTGTGTGTGCGTGTGTGTGTGTGTGCGTGCGTGCAATATGTATGAAGCATTATCTGTTAATTTTAGTAAATAAAATTTCTCTTCCTCAGGATAATGTGAAGGCAGGTATGCAGAACAAAGGCCTTCGTTCACCATCACCAGCGCGTAAGGAGTCCCTCGCCACATAACTCGGGAGCGGCCACCCTCGGTGCCTTCCAGACTTCGCAAGCCACAGCTCAGCCCAACTACTTCTCCTACGAATAATCTGCCAGGCACACACCGCCTGCGTCCTTCGGGCAAATTAACAGCTCCTTCCGGACCTACCGGCGGAAAGGCTCCCGCGAGCAGTCCCACTTCTCCTCGAGGTAGGGCCGGATTCAGGAGTGGGCAAAGTGGGCAGCTGCCCAGGGGCCTCCACATCTTACAGTAACGTACTCCCAACCTCCACATTATATTACAACATTCCTATACAAGAAACCGTTCATTGTTTAACCCTTCACTAATAGTCCTCACAGCTACAGTAGATACATCTCCCTACAGTATATACCCCGGTACCCTTAGTAGGTAGATACAGACGGGATATACTATAACACTAGATTTAGCAGAAAATACAGCAGATACACTGAAATACAACTCATAACTGGGGCTGACATGTGACAAGTTTTGTTGCTGTACAGAAGTTATATACACCAAGTAGGGTAGGGGAGGGGGCCCCAAACTGTACAAGACGAAGAACAAAGTAATAGAAAGTGGAAGCAAACGATAAGTTGCAATTATACTGTATAACAAATACAACAAATAAAAAATCTGGAGAACAATTACAAATAATGCCAATAAACTTGGAATAATAAACAAATAGTAAATGAAAAACCTGCTATATTAAATACATTTGAGAAACAAACATACACTTGGAAATTTATAGTCAAATGCGAGACTGTGGGTAAGTTAGGCATTATGTTATACACACAATTATATCAATGTAGTGAAATGTACAGGTATTAACTGTTACGTTACCCTGAATGTCCCAGCTTCGTCCCGGACACTCGACTCTGGAGCCGGTGCTCTCGCTCTCCTCCGGACTGACTGTTCATAATGCCTGAGATTTCTATCGTTTATTACAGAAGCTGGTCGGGCTACGGTGATTGACATTATGCATATCGGGTTTATTTCTATATCTACAAACGTGTAAATACATTAAGTACTCTTTTGTAAGTTTCCATTCATTGCACTGTCAATGGCGATTTTTGCAACTCTTTACTGCGAGAGCGATCTTAATAATACGATAATGCACACGATTCTGCGACGTCGGAGCGTCGGGGATCTCACGGGCTGAACACTGAGCGTGCGCATGAGAGCGGTGAGTACGCCGGCCAGGTTGGTGGCCTGAGTCATGAGGGTGTTCATGGAAGGATGGTCCATCCAGCGGGCAGCGCCGCCTGGACGGTGGACTGGTAGGTGGTGGCCACGTCCCTCACCTTCACTACCAAGTTCTGAGTCTGGAGAGGCGTGGTCGTGTGCCGCACCACCTGCTGGGTCACGTCCACCATGCGCTGCACCAGCTTTATACTCGTCGACAGACACTGCAATAACGTGTCTTCGGATTCTGTGGCCCACTTGACGAATAACTTCGATTCCGTTACGAACTGTCTTGATTCACTGGTGAGAGCCTCTCAGACCTCCTGGAACTTTGCCTCGTCTTGAGTGGCGGTGCCGCCGCAACGCTGAGCTTCTGCGCAGGTCGCTGCCATCTCCGTCGGGGACTGACCGACCACTCCCGTAAAACTGCAGAAGGCACCTCTAGACGCCGGAGGCATCACTTCGTTGTCTTCTGCTTCTAACGAATCTTGATCGAAGCTGCCGGAGTCCGGGGAATCGTCCGGATCCGTCCCGTTTGGAGGCTTGCCGTTGACCGTCTTGTTTTTGGGAGAGAGTTTTGGCGAGGAAGTCTGCAGAGGAGCGACTTCTTGGTTCAGGCTGTTTTTAACAGCCACGGTGGAATTATCCAGTCTGGGCAGTCTCGAAGCCGTGGAATTTTTGTCGGCGGTTTGCACGGGACTTTTAATGCCGTTGGTGGTGGCCGGCCGCGATGCGGGAACTCTCCGAGCCGGCGACCGACTATTCTTGGCGGGGAGCCGAGGCTTCGGTTTGTCCGCACCGGCTCCCTTACGAGTGACTCTGGGACTCTTTTGGGGGGGAAGCGAGTACCCCCTCGAGGCAGTGCCGGATTTAGACCTGTGGGGCCCATCGGCAGCCAGCCTTTTGGTGGAGGCCCCCCTCATTATAACTACCCAAGAGGGTGGGGTGGCGAGTGAAGCGAGCCTGAACATCTCGGAGTTCCGGGGGGCGCTATAAGCCCCCCCCCGGGAAAATTTTGAAATTTGAACACTTCTTTGGAGAATTTTTAAGCCATATGCAGTTATATTGAGGAAATTAGAACATTGAGAAATTTTTAATTAACTATATTTATTGATAGTGTACAAATTCCCAACACAAACACGCACACAAAAGTGAGACATGACTGGAGTCATTCATGTGGTTTCAAGTCGGTTCATAGGAAAACCAGGTATTCATGAATTTCAAGGAGTAGCTAGCCTAATTTCTGTCACGCTTCTTGCTGAACACAGTTTTACGTGATGGAATAGATAAACATGAATTTTAAAGAATGAAAATAAAAATAATCCAAATAAATAAAATATTGTAAGATGTGGAGGCCCCTGGGCAGCTGCCCACTTTGCCCACTCCTGAATCCGGCCCTGCCTCGAGGAGAAGTGGGACTGCTCGCGGGAGCCTTTCCGCCGGTAGGTCCGGAAGGAGCTGTTAATTTGCCCGAAGGACGCAGGCGGTGTGTGCCTGGCAGATTATTCGTAGGAGAAGTAGTTGGGCTGAGCTGTGGCTTGCGAAGTCTGGAAGGCACCGAGGGTGGCCGCTCCCGAGTTATGTGGCGAGGGACTCCTTACGCGCTGGTGATGGTGAACGAAGGCCTTTGTTCTGCATACCTGCCTTCACATTATCCTGAGGAAGAGAAATTTTATTTACTAAAATTAACAGATAATGCTTCATACATATTGCACGCACGCGCACACACACACACGCACACACACACACACACACACACGCACACACGCACGCACACACACACACACACCATCAACTTTCTCGAGTTCTTCAATCAGCCAAACTTTATTAACATATTCAACTTCTTTACCAACCAACTACACACTACATATCCTACTATAATCTTACTTTCATCAGCAACAACTTCTCCTCTCCCTCACATACAGTACACTGCCTATAATACTCTGATGGGTAAATTTCATACATTCCACTCCCGGTCGCCCCTTCAGTCTGATGACCGGCGCAGTCCTTCACTCTGTTGAGGAGAGAAAGAGAGAGACAGAGAGAGGGGGCAGGGGGAGAGAGAGATAGAGAGAGAGAGAGGGGGGCAGGG